AGAAAAAAGAAAAAGAAAAAGAAAAAGAAAAGAAAAAGAAAAAGAAAAAGAAAAAGAAAAGAAAAAGAAAAAGAAAAAGAAAAAGAAAAAGAAAAAGAAAAGAAAAAGAAAAAGAAAAAGAAAAAGAAAAAGAAAAAGAAAAAGAAAAAGAAAAAAGAAAAAGAAAAAGAAAAAGAAAAAGAAAAAGAAAAAGAAAAAGAAAAAGAAAAAGAAAAAGAAAAGAAAAAGAAAAAGAAAAAGAAAAAGAAAAAGAAAAAGAAAAAGAAAAAGAAAAAGAAAAAGAAAAAGAAAAAGAAAAAGAAAAAGAAAAAGAAAAAGAAAAAGAAAAAGAAAAGAAAAAGAAAAAGAAAAAGAAAAAGAAAAGAAAAAGAAAAGAAAAAAGAAAAAGAAAAAGAAAAGAAAAAGAAAAAAGAAAAAGAAAAAGAAAAAGAAAAAGAAAAAAGAAAAAGAAAAAGAAAAAGAAAAAGAAAAAGAAAAGAAAAGAAAAAGAAAAAGAAAAAGAAAAAAGAAAAGAAAAGAAAAAAGAAAAGAAAAAGAAAAAGAAAAAGAAAAAGAAAAAGAAAAAGAAAAAGAAAAAGAAAAAAGAAAAAGAAAAAGAAAAAAGAAAAAGAAAAAGAAAAAGAAAAAGAAAAGAAAAAGAAAAAGAAAAAGAAAAAGAAAAAGAAAAAGAAAAAGAAAAAGAAAAAGAAAAAAAAGAAAAGAAAAAGAAAAAGAAAAAGAAAAAGAAAAAAGAAAAGAAAAAGAAAAGAAAAAGAAAAGAAAAAGAAAAAGAAAAAGAAAAAGAAAAAGAAAAAGAAAAGAAAAGAAAAAGAAAAAGAAAAAGAAAAAGAAAAAGAAAAAGAAAAAGAAAAAGAAAAAGAAAAAGAAAAAGAAAAAGAAAAAGAAAAGAAAAAGAAAAAGAAAAAGAAAAAGAAAAAAGAAAAAGAAAAAGAAAAAGAAAAAGAAAAAGAAAAAGAAAAAGAAAAAGAAAAAGAAAAAAGAAAAAGAAAAGAAAAAGAAAAAGAAAAGAAAAAGAAAAAGAAAAAGAAAGAAAAGAAAAAGAAAAAGAAAAAGAAAAGAAAAAGAAAAAGAAAAAGAAAAAGAAAAAGAAAAAGAAAAAGAAAAAGAAGAAAAGAAGAAGAGAAGAAGAAGAAGAAGAAGAAGAAGAAGAAGAAGAAGAAGAAGAAGAAGAAGAAGAAGAAGAAGAAGAAGAAGAAGAAGAAGAAAAAGAAGAAGAAGTATGAAGGACTGACTTGATTAAGGTTATTAACACTCGGCGAAGAAATACTAAATGCATGTAACAACGTGCAAGATCCACTGTCAAAGCTAATAAGTCTAATAAAAAAATATCAAGCTAAAGGACATAAATAACGAAGTCCCGTAATAGATCTAAAAAGATCAAGGCGAACAAGGACAAATAACGATAAATTCCTTTTAAATCTAATTTAATTTAAAGAGTTGCTGGGTAAACTATCAAAAATTTCAGTTTCTACGACTGTACTTTTCTCTAATAGAAATGCTCTTTTGTAGCACATCCTTGTAACTGAATATTTAAGCCATTATGTTATTGAAGGAAGACGAAAAAATCGAACTAATAATAGACACACCAATTTCATATTTTTATCTTTATTCACGCTCTTGGAGTTAAGTTAATTATGTTCGCACTAACAAGCCCAATCTCTTTCGATTATGTTTCAACCCTGCGAAAATCTATACCTGATGGGCGATTTAATGTGTATCCTTAACACTCTATGCTTACCATCTTTGTGCTGAAATCAAGGCCATTGTCGTATTATTAATGAAGGCTCAATAACTATCAGATAACAAGCAGAACACTCGACAGTGTTGTGTAGACCCCCGGGACAGTGCATCTCATTAAAATTATCAACGGATGTGATTGTGATTGGCTGGTTAAAAATGTAACATAACGTGTGGGTACTTAAGTAATCAAGGACACTGAAATCTATTTAAAGATACCAGAGTACACCCAGCAATCAACCAAGTTGCTCTGGGGCGATTTCTTTGATCTTTAACGCCGTGGTATTGTTGAAATGCGAAAAAAATTTGAGTTTGGATATTTGATCCTAAAGGGGGTACTAATTGTTTACGTTAGATTCACCTAAACCATTCTTACTATTTTGTTTCATGAAGACAAATAGTTAAGGTGACATACAAGAAACCGAAAATTTTTTATACAAAATTTTAACAGATAGTGATAGACAAATAAAATGAAAAGTAAGAAGCTAATAGTGATGTTCCGTTTAATGATAATACATGCCAAATTACATTACGTCGGCTTAATCGGAAAATATCGTAAGTCCCCTACACAACATTTTACAGGACACGCTTAAAACTTGGCACATTCTGCAATTTGATATTTAATATTTTTTTTTACTTCATTTAATAAATTTAAAGTATCTGATACATTAATTTAAAAATAAAAATTTTGAAAATATATATTTAGGATTTTTTTTATGGACTTTTTCCACTACTTTTTTTATATCAAAACGGACTTTTTTCTTCATATCTGCAACTGTAGGTTATCATAAAATAAATGATAGTCCTTGGGAATACTGCTTTTAAGTTTCTGAAGATGATCCCATTTTTGTTTCTTTATAGGAATGGGCTTAGTATAGAGGGGTAGCAATTCAGAAAAAGCAACCGGTACTTGTTTTTGAACCTGCCGAAATTCAAACTTTTTATAATTGTCAGGATGTCGTAATTTATAACAGATCTCCCCACTTGGAGAATATTGAATAGCTCGCAAATCGGTAACGACAGGATCCCCTTGTTTTCTCCCTGGTCTCAAAGAAGTAATAAATTTGATGCCATCATATTTTTTAAAGTATTTGTAATCCAAGTATTTTACTACATACGGTTTTGGCTTTTCTCGTGCATGTAGACATATTCCTACATAATCGGCAGGTACGTTAATTACTCTATTATGAAGCTTTCTCTCAATGGTAACATGCATTGAATCAGCTTCCATTTGAGTATGCCCTTTTTGAGATATTTTTGTTCTATTATTGTGTTGTGGGTCATACTCAAATTAAGCAAAGAATTTGCTAAAACAACATTACGGTTTTGTGATGTACAGCCATCACTGAAAAGTGTAATCTTCTGTCCTATGGTTAAGGAAGGAATGACTGAATTTTCTAAAAACTGGCATATTATGGATGAGTTATCATTTGCACCAACACCTTCAGCTGCTTCGTGCCATATAAAACAATAGCCATCTTTTGTTTTCATGTCAAACATTGTGAAGTTGTGTACAATCAATTTTGTATTAAAATAGGAAGACGACACATTCGATTTGGGACTTAACAGCACTGATTGTAAGTCCATGCAAAATACCCTATGGTCAGACGTTTTATCAGATTCTTTTGCTTCTCTGGCTTCCTTCTTTTTTTGTACGTGATTTTCATAGTTTTCGCTGCTTAAATTTCCAACATCATGTGCGACGCATGTGTCGCATAGGTCCTTTTTTGGTTTGAAAATGCTTAAATTCATGGAGTCAAATGTATGGTGGAATGTAGCTATAGAAGCAGGAGTAGACTGCTTTTCGTCACACCAGTGTGTTTTATAAAATTTGTACAATGCAGATTTGGTATGCCATTGGGGTTCCAGATAAAGTTCCGATGAGCTTGCCCTACAATAATGTGATTCCATTTTTGGAATGTTTTGTTCAGCTTTACGAACTAGTCTGTGGCTGTTAACTATTGTGTTTTCGCCATCTTTATCTTTATTTAAAGATAGACTTTGCTTCCAGGTTCTGACAGATCTTTCCCCAATACAGAAAGTATTCAAAAACATATTTTTACACACTCTTATTTCTGTATCGGTTTTTTTTAAATAGTATTTCCATGACATACTCCTTCTTGACTGGTTTTCCAAATTTCTATTTCTTTGGCGCTTTGTTATTGATATTTTTACTAGCATGTCGATGTAAATCTTTCTTTGATTCCAGTCTAAGTGCCAAAAATAGTTGAAAATATCGCTTCTGTCTTGATCAGTTAATTTAAAACATTGTATTGCAGTATTTTTTGTTGAAATTTTGCAGTCACATCGTTGACCTAATACTCTTCTGTCTCTTCTAATATTGTAATTCCAACCATTTTTAGTTTTCTTTTTCCTCTTTCTTGTATTATTGGAAACGAAACCTTCTTCTGTACTATCTACTTCCGTGTTGTTATATTCTGTTACAGTATTAGTTATGTTATCATCTTCTTCAGTTGTATCACTATCTTTATCCTCTTGGATGTAGTCAGGATCCCTTTGCCTATTAGTTTGTGTCAGAATACCGTCGTATTCCAAAATATTTTTACGAATTCCAGGCAGCACACATTAGTATAACTAACGTATTTTATACGTAATACTCGTTTAATTTTGGTATTGGTTGATTCCGTATACGTTCACAGTTTACGATTATTATACATACCGTGTTTTAAACGATATATTATACGTTTTTTATATACATCCTATAGTATATAATTGTAAATTTTTCTACGTTTAAATATAGTTAACAATATACGACTATTTTTAGTTTGCGATGAACTATTTATATACAGTGGGCCTAAATATACGTTTAGGTTTATTTAAACTAAATTCGTATAAATTTACATTATATTACAATATGTTTTCTTCGTTTATAATTCCCGTTTAAATTTCGTCTTGGTTGATTTTTTAAACGTTTACCATCTACCATTTTTATACTTAACGTTTTTTAACAGATAAATTAAACGCTTTTGTTTGTCGATACGAGTTAATATACCTATATTATTCTACGTTTAAATATAAGTCACCTTAAACGCATAATACCAGTTTACGATGAACTAGTAGACAGAAGTAAACAAGATGTATATATTTAGGTTTATTTAAATTAAAAGCTTATAGATAAATTTATTTGCATTACATCCATATATTTTTTAATTATATTACCTGTAATATTTATAACAAATTCCCCATACAAATGGAACTATTTTTAGATGGCGGATGGAGGATGACGTACTAGTGGTACGGTTTTTTCTCATTTCTACTCATGCGTATGTGTAGTATTATTGTTCATGTTCAGTGTAGGGAATGGTTTGTGGGAGCAGGTTCATCGGTCCGTCCATTTTCATTTGTGTACACGTTTTGTTGCTTTGGCGTCCTGGGTTTTTACGATATTGATTAAAAGCATAGGTAAGTTTCTATTAATGTTTTAATTTAGCTACTCCTTTAATAATTGTTGCATTTTACAACTACTGTTTTATAGGTACGTAAATGCTTATAGAAACTTCAAAACATAACCTTACTTTTGTTTCTTTTATTTTTATACGTATTTTTTAGGTTACCTAGTTATTCCAAGCATACTTATTTTCCTTTTTTTTTGGTCAGTTATTTTTTATTCAATAAAATGTCTAAAATAACCCTGTGCTCTGCGTCATCTACGTAGAAAAATAGCGCTTTAAAGTCAAATCAATTTTTTTTTATTACCAATAAAGATAACATTAATTAGGCTTCGGACATTAATATATCATCTGATTCTATTATTTATAATAATTTCCAAGAAAATAATACAAATTTAACTTCGGAGCTTTTAGAAAATATTTCACCTGAAATTGAGTTATATTTTGGTTATAGGAATGGGGGTGAACCAAGCGACTTAACCGACCGAACGATTAGGTGTGCCATGCAAGATTAGCTTAAGTTAGCTAAGGCCCGTCTAGGACACAACACATCCAAAGTGTTAAGCTAAGATTTTAATTTTCATATATATTTTTTGTTAGTTAAAGAAAAGTTTCGTTTAGTTTGTTATTTAGTATTTTACTGTTTATTTTTTTGTATTTATTTATTTTTTAGTATTATATTGTTTATTTTTTTTTAATTAAATATTGCTCTGTACATATTACAAGTGATCAAAAAAATTTTCTAAATATTTAGGCAAATTACAACCAAAATGGAAACACGAGTAATGCCTATTTCTGGTGTATACACACCTGCTATGGATAAAATCCAAACTATCATTTAAGAAATAACATTTTTCCATGGCCTCTTTTAGAAATTTTGTTCTGATCACTTTATTTAATTTGTGTTTGAAATACATTTAAAACAATATCACAGGTAGACGCATTTTACGCATTAATAAAAATCATACAAATATATCTAATATAGACGTATAGTAAAACAGGATAATTAAAGGTAGATAAAGTAGTAATGTTAGACGTATAAAAAATAAAAAAATATACGTTTATAGGGCGGACATTTTCACGTATATATTAGGTAGCATATCAACAGTATCCATACGTATATTGTAGTACATAAAAAAACGTATTTTATACCAAAGTGAATTCGTATAAATATACTACAACTATAAATCTAATATAGACGTATAGTAAAAACGTTTAATTATAGGTGGATAAATTCTTAGTAATCGACGTTTATAAGGCGGACATTTTCACGAATATATTTGGTAGTACATCAACCGTATTCATACGTATGGTAGTACCTAAAAAATACGTAATTTATACCAAAGTGTGCTGCCTGGGATAATTTCATTTTCGTCGCCAGATATTAATGCTTCTGGTTCTGGAATATTCTGACATGATTGAGGCTTTACAATATTTTCATGTTCCATGAGTTTATTATATTTATTCCCATTGTTGTCTGTAAAATAACAAATTATTGTTAGAAAAAAAAAACTCATAAACAAATCTTTGTTTCGAAGCCTGTTAAGAACTACAAAAAGAAAATAATAAATACCATTAGTAACGGTAATCATCTCTGGGTCTAAAACATATTGAGATATAGTCAGTAAGTTTTCTTGATTTTCCAGATTATTTATTTCCAAGAATTTATTATAATCTGTCTCATTTTTATCTACAAAATTTAAAAAAAAAAATTTATAAAAATATAATTTTACTAAATACAAATTTACCATTGTTTATTACTGAAAACAATTCCAGACCACAATTGTCTAGCCTTATTGATTGATCGTCAACTTCATTATGGTCATCATTATTTAATATTATATTACCATCAGTTGCCTGAGTACTCTCATTTTCAGTAGTTTGTTTTCCGCTTGAAAAAATACCATCAGTAAGTAACCTCTGGTATGTGTAAAATCAAAGAATTATCACACATTTCGACAAAGCTTTCAGGATCTTGTGAATTTTGTACTGTTAAAGGCTTAGCAAACATTTTATGTAAATTGGGAACTTTTTGAAATATCGACATGGTGCGAGAAGAAACAGGTGGAATTTTTAGCTTCGGATGTAATTTAAACTTATCCATTATCTTAAAAAAATATGTAACTATGTTAAAAAATATAACAAGTATCTTACTCTCAAAAATTTTAATTGTGCTAATTGTGAAATTTTGTTAACTGAAAAAAAAGTTTGAACTCCAATCATTTTATACGAAAACTTTATTACTTGCAAAGAGAAAATGTCGTAACTCCCCGTAACATTTGTTTTCTTAATTAAAACTTCCCCTTTATACACTGAAAAATAAAAAATATATTTGAACTTACCTTAGGTAATCTCTGGTAATATGGTTACTTTCTAGACAGAATTCAAAGGAAACAAATCACAAATAAACCTAATTTTAAGACACAGACATGAACAGTCACCAGACGCCATTTAAACTGACGGACTTACGATAATTTCTCCATACACTTTACGCAGGTCGGACTTACGTCAAAATTTTGACACAGATTTCTGCACTTTAAATTTTATCCTGAACGTCCGATATTTTCTAGATAGGCAGCTATGATTATTGCACAACAGGTAGCGCAACATCCTCATTTTCGATAAAAAACGGACTTACGACATTTTCCGATTAAGCCGATGATAATACGATTAATCACATCAAGAACAAAACATAATAATTATATTATACAGAGACACTCAAAATTGTTAGTTATTCTTCCTCCTGAATACAATATATTTAAATAAATTCCCATCAATTTTCTCGAATGTACTCTTTGGAAGAGATTAACTTAAAATGACTGCTAGAGGAGAAGGTCCGAATATGGGCCACATTTTGTTTTTTGAAAATATTTTTTAGTTTTTTTCGACTAATTAACCTGTAACTTGGGAAATTAATTACTAGGAGCATTTACTTCATAGGTATAAACACATTTTTGAAAAAATCGTTATCATTAGTTCTGTGTATTTTAACATACAAAAAGTGTAAATTTTTAAGATTTGTGTAAAGTGCTTGAAATATGAACCACCCTATAAAAGTAACAAAAAGTCTTCTTAAACCGTAAAAAAATATTTATTTCTAAAGAATGTGACATAAAAAAACTTATTTGCAAAAATCGCAGATATATTCGCCGCGTTCTGTGTCCGCACATGCCTCATGTGACCATATATGACACATCAAACAGCACACTTACAACTCGCCCTTGTCATCTTCAGAGAAAAGTCCTTCATAATAAATACATCTTCATTTTCAGGAAGAGTTCCGAATTTTCCACATCTTTATCCTCATCAGCAGGAATAAATATTTCATCCACATCACTCTCAGACTCAGACTATTTACCAGTCTTCTTCGGTTTTTGAGGTTTTGGTTGGGATTTCCATTTACCCTTGACCAATATTTTGCCAAACACATTCCGTTTTCCCTTTTCACCAATATTTTTCTATTTTTTCAACAGAAATTTCTAAGTCGTTTTTGTATGGAGAAGACGTTATAAATTCAGACTTAGACTTTGTTCCACGATTAGTTACTTTCTTTTGTATGGAAGGGACTTGGGAAATTGTAAAAGGCGACACAAACGTGAGTGATTTTGACGGACCAGAAGTCGCGACAGGGAAACTTTTCGAACATTCAGGTTGTGTATTCATATTTTCGGGAAATTCAGGAAGGTTATCAACATTTCTAGAGTATCCGGGTTGGGGATCATTATAAAAAATTTCCGGGTCAGCAGATTTAGGATTTTAGTTATTTTTAGTTGCTGGACTGGACACAAGGGAGGAACTTTGAGCTTGAGACGTATTGCTGCTGGTAGATATTTCTTTAAAATTGCTGCATCTTTTAACTGCTTCAGCTTGCTCAATATTAAAATCAGCATCACAAAAAATATGTCTGTTGAAGGGGTAAATTCCTGTCACTCGGAAACCGTTGATAGCAATTTGTGCGGTCTCTGATTTTAGGAATACCTTTCCCAATAACTCAGCTATTTCAAAAACTGAAACAGGACGCTGATTAACACGAATCCAATTTCTTATTTATTCGCTATAGTATACCTTAAATGGACCCATAAAACTTTTATCTAAGGTTTGCAATTTATGCGGTGAATGAGGTGGTAGTGACACTATTGAAATGTGATTTTACCTGGTTAAGCTAATAACTTCAAAATTGCGAGTATGGCTATAATGTCCATCCAATATTAACAAAACAGGGTCATCTTGAGACGGTTTAACAAACTGTATAAAATGATGAAACCACTTCGTGAAGAGATTTTGTTGAATTCATCCACTGGGATGTACGTCATATATTGTCCCCGGGGGAGCTCCACGGATCAACTGGTCATTTCTATTTTTCCTGGGAAAAATTAACAATGGTGGTACGAATTGTCCTCCAGCGCTCATACATGCAACAAATGTCACAAGTGATCCTCGTTCTGCTGAAGTGATGGCAGCTATCTGTTGTTTACCTTTTCGACCAATTACAGAAGGGGCCTTGCTTTGCACTATTGATAGACCTGTCTTATCGACATTAAATATTCTGTGCGGTTGAAAATTGTATCTATTGTACTCTTGCTCCAGATTGTCAAAAAATCGTGATGCGTTTTCAGAATTAAAACCAAGAGCTCTTGCAAAAGAAGTGCCAGTTGTCTTTCTTAGAGAAAGTGTTTCCTTATGGCGACGTAAAAATACATCGAGCCAGCTTCTTCCTGATATTTCATTCCTAAAGGGATTTTTCATACCATTTTGTTGAACTAGTTTGTACGCCATAATTCGAATGTCTCCTTTTGTGAGACCATAAAATTTTGCCTCCATTGTGAGAATGTAATCAACAAGCTCCTCCTTCAATTCTTTACCTAAAACTGTTTTTCTTCCAAGAGTAGTTAGAGTTATGCGGTCAGGATCTCCATCGACTTTCAAAAGCCTTTGTAAAGTAGCTCTTGGTACACAATATGTTTTTGCTGCCTATCTACAAGTTAACAAATGTTCTTAACCAGCAATTATTCCTCTCGTCATATTTCCGGTATCCCACTGCTTCCTTATATTTCTTAAAACGTATTTTTCCCTTGTTCAGGGCATTTTTAACTGAAAAAAAAATAATAGTGCAATTTCCTACAACCAGATACTAAATGTGGTCCGAATATGGGCCAGGCCCATATTTCGGTCAAATAAGTGGCCCATATTTCGGTCATTAAGTGGCCCATATTCCAAACATAACCACAAAAATTTCTCCATATAAATAAATTATTCAAATGCAATTTTGGGCAAAACGCAGTAAAACATCTTAAAGAGTAACATTTCTAGTACACACTTAGCAATTTTGAACTTAAAAGATTAAGAAGTTTTGAAAACAACACAAAATATTTACACTCTTAAATAAATTTTTGCAACCATTAAAATATTAACCAACTGAGTGCTTCTCTGGCCATCCATGTTTGAAAAGCCGAAGCTAGATATTTGTTCACGAACCCATATAGTGTAAAGATTACGCTATGCAACACATCGCATCGGTACGCGTTGTTTCCAATAATAGGGTGGCCCATAATATCAGCATGGCTCATATTCGGCCGTCTCCTCTACTATTCCTTTACAGAAATATGTTTTATGAAGAAAACTTTTTCTTATATAATTGAAAGGAATATCAATGTGTTTAGTGCGTTTAAGAAATTTGGAATTCTTAAGAAGCATTACAGCATCATCATTGTCAATTTTTAGTACTGGAAATTTACTCGGAAGTAGTTTACCTAGAAGTTTAAGAAGGCAAGCAATATCTCTTGCGGCTTCGAAGCTAGCCACTAAGTCTGCATCTGTTTTCGACTCATTAGCCTCATTAGCTAATTTACAAATTACTACATTGTAATCAGCATCATTGAAAACTTCTAAATATTTTAATCCAATCTCAAAATATATACCTAAGTCTGTTGTTACAAGTAGGTACTTTAAAATTATTTTAACACAAGCGGTAAGATTTAAAATGTCAAAATGTTTAAGAAGCTGTATTCACAGCATAGGCTCTGTCATATATGTTTACAATAGCTAGGTAAAGAAGACTTGCTTTCGTCTAAATCTTCACCGTTCTTCAAAGCGTTACATTTTTCAGATAGTGTACAGATTGAAAATAACTCATTAATCTTTGGCAGTTTGAAAAATAATCATAACATGAAAAAAATTTGTCAATATCTTTCGTCATCTCAACTTGACTTTTCACTTAAAAATGTCATTGCAAACCATGTCATTTTCATAAGCTATCAACCTATCATCAACATACAGGATGAGTAAAATTTGGAGATACTCATTTGAGCAGTATAGATGAGGATGAAGGCATGAAGACTGTACAACATACTTGGAGGGTCACTTTACATGTAGGTTATGCACGAAATAATTCGTGCGTACTCTTATAACCTTCTTACGTACTCTTATATATTTTGACATATAAAAGTAGGGGAGACTGTCCTAAAATAAAAACAAAAAAGTAACAGGTATTGAAAAAGGCCTTGGACGTTTTTCTACAACTTTTCCAATGGAAATGGAAAATGAACTGGTTGATCATATTAAGTCGCGGGAAAATATGTTGTTTGGACTCACTGTAACCGAACTAAGGAAACTGGCTTTTGAGTTTGCCGAAGCAAATAACTTGCCACATCGCTTTTGTGAAGATGAAAAAATGGCGGGGTTTGAGTGGATTAGGGGATTTCATATGCGTCATCCAGAAATTAGTTTAAGAAAACCAGAGTCTACCTCTGCAGCCAGGGCACAAGCCTTCAACAGACCTCAAGTGACTAATTTATTCAACGTCTGGAACAAGTCATGGAAAAATATAATTTTGACAACATATATAATATCCACGAATCTGGCCTCTCATCAGTCCAAAAAGCACCTAAAATATTTGCCACTAAAGGCAAAAAACAGGTGGGGTGCATAACCAGCGCCTAACGTGGTAGCCATACCACCGTAATATGTTGCATGAATGCAGCAGGATCTTTTATCTCCCCTGCATTAATTTTTGCAAGAAAGAAACAGCAGACAGAACTGGTGGATGAT